ATTTATTTTAATGGGACTGCATGAATGGAATTTTATATGGAATTGATTTTGCTTGGTTTGTTTGACGATAAATATAGTGACGTCTATATAGTAGTAGTGAAGGATAGTTGTTTGGTGAAGATGATTTTGGCGGGAAATAGTCCATAGAGATGGGACATTTTCGTTTTAAACTCTTAAATACTAATGAAAAGTTTTGACGGGAAACTAGAAGTTTCCAATCTTTTGTGTAATAAACAAGCAGATGTACATACAATCTTCATACATATGATTTTTACCATTTCCGTTTTTATATTTACTACGGACCAAGTCTTTTTTATAATTACATTGACATTTAGCAAAAATAAATTAACCACTTTAATTTCTTTTCGATTTAAAATGATATAATTTTAAATTTTAAATCCTATAAGAAAAGTCAGCAGTCGTAACTTAAATGACGTCACCACTGGTCAAGCACGAAGCGAACAAATAAACAAATCTCGTTTGACATTTGTATAAATTATAAATACGTTTTTGATAGTTTTATTTTAGAACCTTCATTATCAACTTCAATTAGATTTATTAGTTATATATATTAATATATTTTTAATTAACCTTTATAATTGCCTCACATTATTTATGGTTTAGACGTCTTTTTAATATCAAGTTGGAATTCACACCAAGGACTCACGATTTCCTCAATTATGTTTTTTTTTTTAAATAAACTAAAAGCTTCGGCATTTTGTATAATGCCAGAATATTAAATAAAGAGGTTGTATATATTTTCATTTTATTGGTAAAAAGTATTGAATCTGTTCCAATCGCACCGTTCGGTGATTCGTTTGTACCCCGAACGGAATATAAATTGAAAATCACAAAACTCTTGAAGAATTCTGAACATCGGATTAAATAATGCATTAGTTTCAAATTGAAATATTTTTTATGTAAAAGAAATACATTGAAAAAGATTACAAGCATGTTTTGTTTTTAAAAATAATTCGAAATTTAAATTTGAATACACGCAAAAAAATTGTTCGAAAATAATGTTCTCTACTTTTATTTGTTCTATAGGAATTAATTTATTTTTTTAAAACGTTAAAAGATTTAAAATAATATTAATAGATATCTTAGTATACAAAAAAAGAAAGTAAAGTCATATGTAAAATAATGTCTCACAAAATTATTCACCGTATTATTACAAAATCCAAACACGTAAACAATGTTGGCAAAACGGTTTTAATAAAGCAATTTCAAAAAACGTCGCGTTCAAATTAACATTAACGGAGAAATTCTCATACAAGCAAAAAGGAAATTGAATCTTCAATTAATATGTAATGTATTAATATGATTTACATAACTAAATATTATTATAATTAAAGAAAAATACTCAAAAACTAATCATAATTAAGAAATATTACAGATAGCTTTCCGCCCGCAGCTTCGCCCGCGTGGAGTTCTGTTATATCGCGTTTTCAAGAGAACCTTTTAAAGTCTGGGATCAAAACTATCCTATCTTCTTTCTCAAGGTCAACTCTATTTCTGTACCAAATTTCATTAAAATCAGGCGTGAAAGCGTAACAGACAGACAGACAGAGTTACTTTCGCATTTATAATATTAGTAGGGATACATAGGATTCACACTTATACGAACTCTACTACGGATCTTCATAATCTTTTGAGCAAGTAAATGTTTTACAATATAACATATGTAACAATAGATAAATAATTCTATAAGTATCTATAGCAGTTACAAAACGCAGCATTGACATTCAATAGGTATGGCGTGAAGCCAGGCCCACAGAACTTGGGTCAGAGCTAAATTTAAACGTCACCCAGCCCGCCTTTCACAACACCTGACTGAATGTCTTTGTATTCTATAGACATGCACCATAATACATCATTAACAGGTTTTAGAACAGGACCTGAATTTAGATACTGTTTTGGGTTTTGCGTTTTGTTATTGCATCGTTTATGTTGGATGTTAAATATCACGTATGGCTGAATAGTTTTAAGTTTTGACCTTTATGAACTTTAATAAAAAAAGTATTTTAGGTAAAGTAAAAAGTAGGACCTAAAATTTTCTTAACTATCTAACAAAGATCAAAAAAATTTCGCGAGTTTTTTCATTTATATGACACTAATATTTTTCGTATATATACTAGGTACATGACTTTATTTTGTAAAAAATTATATACTCCCGACGTTTCGGCTACTATTAAGCTATATGATACACACATTGTTATGTAATTGACTTCGTTCTAATATATAGGTACATATATATGTATGTATGTTTAATTTTAGTCCCCGGCAAATACCTTTTATCATAAAACTAAGCGCCAGTCATTAAAACTCGTTTTAAAGACGACATCAATTTTGTTTTACATTAATTCGGACGTCTAATTGTTTCGTCCCTGAAACGCGGTACGTTTTTTTATCAATTGCCTCTCGTTATGTCTGATTAATTACCTTTAATACTTCAATCAACGATTTGTTCAAACAACGTCCATTCATCAAGTAGATAACTTTATAAGCAGCGAAAAATCAAAGCTTCTCTGTACTGCCATACATATACTTAGGAGTTTATCTTCTTCTATCTGACAATTTTCTCAGCATTAGCCAGGGTTTGCCTTACATGTTGTGAATAGTTTTGGCTAATTGTTTTTACGACCGGCCGCCTGCCTGACATCAACCCTCTTTGAGAATTAATTAATCAGTGATGTCTAAATACTCTTAGAAAGTACATATGCCTCGGAAAAATCACATTGGTGCTTGCCAGGATCGAACCTTCGCCCTCATGCATGAGAATCGGGCTTTTGAACCACTAGGCCACCACTGACTTACTTAGGAGTTTATCTATTGAGCCAAATCCCTACTAATATTATAAATGCTAAAGTAACTCTGTCTGTCTGTTTGTTACGCTTTCACGCCTAAACAACTGAACTGATTTCAATGAAATTTGGTACAGAGATAGTGTTGACCTTGAGAAAGAACATAGGATAGTTTTTATCCCAGAGTTTTGAAAGGTTCTCTTGGAAACGCGATATAACCGAACTCCGGGCGAAGCTGCGGGCGGAAAGCTAGTTAAATATAATTGAGAAATTCAAAACACATACATACAAATTATGTTAGTTTCGACCTTAAAGAAAAACATTGAATGACAATCCATTGTCAGGAAAGGGCTTAAAATCGCCCTTGTATACACGTAAACTATAATAAATTATTCATAAGGTTTACCATAACATTCCATTATAATACTTCAAAAATATTGTTCGAATTCTAAATGACCTTAGTAATTGTTATGGGAAAGATATAAGTATTAATTTCACCTAACTATTTTAATATATTGCCATACTAGCTTTTATCCCGACTCTGTCTGAAAATATGTCCATTATTAAAAAAGATCCTTCTAAATAAACTATCAACAAAAATAAAGTTTCATATATTTTTTTTATTGATTTACGTATCATATGCGAACATACATATGTATTTTTTTTATATATTATATAATAAAATTCTTCCCACGTATATTGAAATAAGAGCCGTACCTAGAAACTGAATTTATGATTATCGATAAAACCTGTTTTATTGGTAAGTTCGATTCAATGAATTGTGAACTAAATCCAAATATATTATAAATTGCAATAAAGAAAAAAGACAGGGAGTGTCGAGGGAAGTTGTCTGTATTGAGAAATAGTAGAGATGTTTTAGAGTAGTAACAATTCGATAAATCATTTGCTGCTAGATAATAAGTAGACTATTCAGAAGAAAAAATAATTTTGTTTTATACGGAACCAAATAAAAAACAAAAAATAATTTCGAAGATCCCTTATCATTGATTACTATACGTATTATAGTTAATTTCAATATAAATCAAATATATTTCATTAAAAAATCAACTACCCTAAAAAGATCAACGATATATCAAGATGTTCCAAAAAAAAAAGTGTACCTGCCTATATAGCTATTAATATTTTACTGTGAAATGTATAATAACTAAAATAAGAAGAAAAAAAGTCGTGCAAAATAATTATCATACTTAGTGCTTACAAAATAAACATCGCCTTCAGACAATTCTGATTGGCGTTAATTAATATCTAATAGATTTAGTGTTAGACCAAGGTAATGATGACCTGTCGTGAACTTGAGAAATTATGATAGGATGGGTCTTACTAATTTGGTTTTATTACTCTAATTTTGGTTACATCTATTTTTAAATCAAACGAATAAAAGCATTAATGTATAGAAATGTAGTAAGATTTTTTCTTTAATAACAATTAAATGATGTTCAAATTTTGCGATAATCGTGATCTCGAACGAAAAATATGAATATCACTGGTAATATAATTTGAAATAATATATTTTGGCTCGTATTTATAATACAAAATTGGTGTGTTATAATTTTTTTTTATATCATTAAGGATTTTTATACCACAGTTTTAAGTCTTAAAATGACTTTTATCCTACAACCATCATTTGCACACATTAAGTATGAAGGCTGAGTTTTTTTAATCTGTTGCATTAAAATACAAAAAAAGTATTATTTCACATTGAAAAGTTAGTTTCAGTTAACAATCAGACGATCGACTATATCTAACTTCTATGCTATTTAAATAATAGCAAACATAAAACAAGCCTTATATTTCTTGCATAAAACAATGTCTAACAATGGTATCTATCCCTACTTATATTATAAATGCGAAAGTAACTCCGTCTGTCTGTTACGCTTTCACGCCTAAAACGTTGAACTGATTTTAATGATATTTGATACAGAGATAGAGTTGACCTCGACAAAGAACATAGGACAGTTTTTATCCAAGACTTTTGAAAGGTTCTCTTGGAAACGCGATATAACCGAACTCCACGCGGTCGAAGCTGCGGGCGGAAAGCTAGTAACTAATAAATAAAAAAATGTTTGAATACCTATTGTATCTTACTGTCTGTACTATGACACTATCTATTAATTATATTTCATAGTTTTCCTCATAAACATATTTAACTGAAATTATCACTATTGTATTACTTACCATGTATTACAGTTATCCATTCTCTTGTCCCCTTTGAAGAACATCTTTCCGTTATGTCTGCACGGCTCCTGGATATTCGAGGGTTTCCCGAGACAGACCTCTTCATAATCGGGACAGCAATCATCATGAGTTCGGTTGCAGAATTGATCGCAGTAGCATAGAGTATCTATGAAAACATTACATTATAATAATCGTAATAAAATACACGAGTCATTTTAGAAATGCTATATAAAGGAATATGAAAATAGGTTGATTGGTAAAAATCCAAAAAAAATCTATGAAAACATTACATTATAAAAACATTGCACTATAACTACACTATAAAAACATTGCACTAGCAAATTTAGAAAGGCTTTGTAAAGGACTATGAAAATCGGTTTCATTGATAAGTTTGGTAGTTTTCTCGTAACAAGGTAAACATACATATATGAAATAGTGAGACATCAATGATTCAAGTTTATAGATGACGTCATCACTTATTGATAAATATAAATCTGTCTCATTCTGATCCAGTCAATAATAGTAGGGTATTATAATCATATATATAATACTTTCTTATGTAATATACAGGGTGACTGGTGAATTACTATCAATATTTAAGGAGAATACTCGGTACATGATTCTCATTCGAATTATGTAAAAAAATTATTACTTAATTTTTGACCAAATTTCCGTATAAATAAATAAAGTGTGGACACGTTCCAAGTGTTCCAAGTGTGGACGCGTGTGGCGGCGTGCTGATACAACACCACGCCGCGCGCGCGAGTGTGTGTGTGTGTGTATACCTAATCTGTAGGGTGTTCACACGATGCGTAATTAATTATATAACTTTTGGTTAAGTTTACTTAGAAGTTTATTAATATTTATGTTATATTAATTTTTATTTTGTCATATGTGATCGTCAAATATCACGTCCTCAAGTATCGATAGTAATTCACCAGTCACCCTGTATAGTATAATTCTTAATGCATGAAATGATTTCGATACCTCCCAAATAAGTTGTTGTATGCCACAAAAATGCTATTTTGCTTTTTTTATGAAAAATATCATATTATGGATCATTACATCCATAAAAATTTAAAAAAACAACAAAAACACTATTTTAAAAGGATTTGTCAGACGCATAATGTTGGAATTTTCAGTCTAGTGTAAAATTATAGTTTTGGAGATACAACATCTTACGTGGGAGGTATCGATATATGTAATACTTACTTATATCCAAAACTTCGTATGCATGAAAATTATATATTAGTATTAATATGTATAATTTATTCTTCATTATATATATAATCTGTATTATTAAGACGAGACTATACTACAAAGTTTTCAACGTAAATCGTTTATCGTGGAGAGCATTTATCAGAAATGTTAGTAATTCGATGTTATTGAACCACTCAGATCTGTAGTTCAGATAAGATTGTAGGGTAATAACATTCTTGCTTCTCTAGTATTTGTTACACTACAATATAACTGTTTTTCGTTTGACTTTTGACAGTTCTAAATTTGACATTTCCATTTTATATGTAACGCCGAGATCGAAGTCCAATCGTCCATGGATCAAATTGTACACATTTAATTTTTTTTGTGGCTAACAACTGTAATTTGTTTTATATGTATAAACTGTTAATATATGTACAATGAAAAAAGTAATTATAATCTATCGATCATGATTGTTGCAAAGTAACCGAAAAGTCTGCAGTAATAAAACCGAAAATATTACTTGCACTACAATGAATACTCGCGATAGTCTCTCATTGGTATACCTCGTATCCTGATTTTATATCACATCGGTATACCTCGTATCCTAGTATATCTTATCAGTATATCATACCTCGTATCCGATGTGAGCAGTCATCCTTGCGGTCGGTGCAGCACTGATTGTTGATGCCGCAGTACGGCCCCGGCGGCAGTCCCGGGCGCCAGTACGCCGTCGTTACACTCAGCAACCCGCAGAACAGCAGCGAATATAATCTGTAACAAAAAATACTTATAATATATATCTTCACAACATAGACCAAAAAAATGAATGAAATTAATATTTTTGGGATTACTATTCGTATTTTAAACTACATAGTCCCGACGTTTCGGTTACTTAGCAGCAACCGTGATCACGGACAGACGAGATGCGAATATCTGAACATAAAATACGTATACGTATCCAAAAAATATTAGTTTCATTTAAATGAATACTCGCGAAAATCTTAGATCTTCATTCGATTGTGTCATTATTTTATTTTCGGTTAAAAAGAAACACGTCATAACAAAACACTCGAACATTAATTAAAAACCACGAGCACGTTATCTACGATTAACCAATTAATAGTATCGTTAAATAACAGAGTAATAATTGCATAGTTGCTACACACATACACTTACAGAAGGAATGTACTCTAAATATATTATTTAAAATATAACTATATACTACACAATAAATATTCTAGAATAATTTAAGAATGAGGTGATGAGCGTTTAACACGCGTTAGATAGGGGCCCCTTAAACCTACACCTGGGTCGCAAGTCCCAGGCACTGTTGAAGCTCCTCTCACTACAACGAGGTTGAATGCTAAGAGGTTTCGTCTATAACTATATGTATGTAGGTAAAATTTAATTGAAATTACGTAATGTATCTAGTTGTTCTAATCTATAGTTCGTCGAACCCTCGCGAATCGTGACACTGATAAGAAATAAATCAATTTTCGCTTCAGTTCCATTGATTATGTACGGATGTTCCGATACTTTATACATTTGGGTATCGAACGAACGTCGGTATTTTTACAAGCGTGAAATTAAACGTTATTATATACAAAAACACGTCAAAGGCATTTAATAACAATGTATTGGGATTATTGCTTTGTAAAAAAGAATTTGATAGATATTTTTTGCCGTTTTTCGCTTGTTAACTATGATAAAGACAGTTTAGAATCGTTATAGGTACCTATTTTAATTCTGTTCCTGATGTGTTTTAAATACTTTCGTTTAAATAAATTATTACGTTTAGCCTAAATCTACAAACTTCAAGTAGATTGGATATTGTTAAATTTTTTTAGAATAACTTTTTAACTGTTTCAATAAAATGTGTGCAAAGGTTTATCACAATCAGCTGACACCTAAATATTTATAAATAACAAGCAACCAAAAATTGTTCTTTTTTCAAAATTAATACAATCATCATTAATTACATCATAGTGATCATAAACAGCGGTTTGCAAACATTGTTGTCTCATTAAAAGACAAAATAAATCATTGAAATTCGTGCCAGACCGTAATAAATTGTAAATAACATTAAAAAGCACATGGCGGCCAAATGTTATTCAAACTCCACGGTAACAAGTTAAACGGCCATCTTGAATCTTCTTTACTTAAAATTGTATTTGTAAATATTATGTCACTTATAAAACATTCAAGCATTTTACCTTTGTTCCAAATAAAAGTATTCAGAATTTGAATTTGAAAATACAGCTGCTGTCAAATCTGGATTTGTAAAATAATAAATCACTAAACAAATAAAAGTCACTTTTGTTTTACGACGTCTCTGATCACCAATTTGCATCGAAAATGCATAGATTTTATACGAAACATATTGTTATTCGATCTGTCGAATGCTGATTTCGAATTTAACAAACGTCATGGCGGCGTAATAAAGTTTTTCAATCAAACTGACATGTGACACGCGAAATAGATACAGAGTATATTTCAAATTATATTGATTTTACTATAAATTTAATAAATCGTCAAAGACATAAAATCAGTGTGAAGTTTTTCGTTAATAAATCTTGTAGAGTATTATGAATAAAGAGCTAAATTTTATAGCGCATCTAATTAAATTTGATTTTGTTTAAAATGTTTGTATCTCTGTATTAAACTATCAAGAATGGTAGAGCCTAGCTGTGGTCAAGTTACTACATCTCGAACATGTGCCGGCTCGACCGGGTAAGAACCACCCTCTCACAGAAGATCGGCGTGAAGTAGCCTTTAATGGCTGCGTTTCGTCCGATGGTGGAGAGAGCCGGTTGGCGGTTACCCTTTAACTGTTCCCATCCTTTCCTGCCATTTTCTTATTCTTTCTAGACTACCAAGGTTGGCAACGCATCCGCAACAAAAAATTTGTCTAATAATATACAAACGTCTAAGTACATACTTAGTTTTAAAATAGAACAATTAAGAATATCGCCGTCAGCGCCAACAATTATTTTAATGACATATTATTAATAAAGGAATTATGTATATATTTCATATGAATAATTATTAAAAATAAATATGTCTACAGCCAGTGTAATCGACAAAGGTTAACAAATTTTAAAATTAATAATTGTTTATCTGTACGTCGATATTGCAAACGATCTTTAAAACTTGCATTTCAGTTGAAAACCTTTGATCTGTTTAACACTAAGAAATCATAGACTATAAATATAGTCTATTCTCTCTGGATTATATAAAATTAATGTTTATTTTTTTACATAAACAATATTATTCTGATACAATACAGAGACCAGTGTTGCTTGAATCATATCAACCAGACAAATCCTCTGAAATCAGGATCAAATAATAATAGTGATATTTTTAGCTTTTAGTCATGTACTGGCTGTTAGTAAAATTAGATCTTAATTAGTCGTTTGTAGTCTAGGTCATATCTTTTAAAAAATTTCCGCATATTTGATACTGTTTGTATGCACTTAGATTTCAAGGTTATCTAGATAATTGATTAATTATCAACGAATTATCTTTTGTTGGCAAGGATGAGTATAACCTTAAATGTAAGACGTGATTTTTCTCTATGCTGATAGTTTATGGTCTTTTTCGGTCTTGCCTTAAAAAGATTTTTTAAGCCTGCTAACTTTAGGATTAGAAATCTATATATTTCATTATATTTGCAAATACGAAGTTACTAAACTATAGACACACACAAACATCATTAATTATTATAGACACAGAAAACAGAAAACATTTTCCAAGATTAGCAAAATAATCAAAAGCCTAAATATTCTGAAAATTCAATTATTAATATGTTTTTAAAAACAACAGCAAAGTAATAAAATGTATATAAAACAGTTTCAATATATAATACTGCAAAAGAATTTAAGAACGTTTAAATATATTTTTTCCATTTCTCGCTTTCAGTCGTGACAAAACCTTCAGCACGCGTTACAGTTTCACTTAAATTACTAACAAAAAGAAAGATAAAAACACATTTGTTTTTATTTTAATACAACGAGCAAAAACTAGAACGAAATGTATTTGTTAGAATTTAACGCTTTGCAACTGTACAAATGTTGGCTCAACTGTTCAGAAGACTGACATAAATGTACGAATAATATCCCCTAAATAGAATTTTGTTGTATGAAATAAATTATACCAAAATCAACCTAATTTTTTTTAAATTTAAAATATGGCCCCCATCCGTACAAAGACGTACACAGTATATTCTGCCAGCGTCTTAAAGAAAATTAACAAAAAAAAAAACTTTAATTTTGACAATCTCTTGACGTATCAGGTACCATATTTGACATTTGATCTCCTCACGTCACAAAGATACAATTGTATGTATTAAAATATAAATCTAAAAAATATACAGGTATCGTAACAGCTATCCTTTCGAAAACTTTCATTTTATGTTATTAACACCCGCTATATGTATGAATATATGTATAAACATACATTTTATAATCTGGCTGAATATAAAAATATGAATAAAAAAAAATATTCAACAGATAACTTAAACTACATAGTAACTTTACTTTTTCTAAATTATAAAAGAAGGTTTAATATAAATAATTCAGCTTATCTGAAAACTAAGTCGCAAGGCCACAAGCGGATGATATTTTTCCCGCCAACCTTGTTATCGCGTGGGCCTAAAAATGTACTATGTCAATATTATGTCTGCTGTAATAGATCTGTCTCAATGTCAGCTGCCTTAATACATTGTTTAATTTGAAGTCTGATATCCTAATAGTAATTAACAGCATTCATTTTAATACAGCCTCGTTATAATGTTTTCGTAAGGAAAACATTCAAAAAACATTCATAAATTTTAACAAAACTTATTATGAATAGAAGGCGATTAAATACAGCAATCTTATTCCTAAAAATCTAACAATGTTTTATTGTTTAAAAACTACAAGTGTACCATATAATTATGTCAAATTTTAATCAGCTCTTAAAATAGTTTCTATCGATAAACTTAATTGGTAATTCATGCCTACATGTGTCAGTCGTCAGTTAAAACATAAGACAGGAGTATCATTAAAAAAGATTTCGATAAAAAAACATGACGAAAACTTATCATAAACAAAGAAATATTAAATTCAGATACATGATATAGTCCATCACTAGTAATTTAATAACATTTACGTCTAATTTTGCATCTATATTTTAAATTTTTAGTGTTAAAAATGTTGTTCACCTTTCGTTTTAAAAAATTGCTATAAAAATATTCACTTGACAAATTGTCTCACATATGTAAATATAATATATGAAAACTAATATAAATTTATTTTTTAAATTATCATAAATTTGTCGAATTATGTTTAAAATATACATTAAAAGAATATTTATTGATTTTTTTCTACAAAATAACTGACGATATTATCAAAAAGCTCAAATAAAAATTTACGATTTATAAAAAAAACGGTATGCGTGTTTATAAAAAGTATACTAGGTCAAATTATTTTAGTTGTATCTTTAAATATATTTAAGATTTACAAATATAGCGACCCTAAAAACACATAAAACTAATCATGTTTACTTTTTAACGCCGACGATCTCTTAGGCGCCAAAGTCACTAGACGCATTGACACTATTAGAAAAAAAAGTCGCAAAACTAACACTATTGAGGTTCAACGAACTATTAAACTTTTTTCACATGCGAATATAAACACTTCAAAATGTCCACTAAAATACTTTAATCTGTCAGCTGTGTAACAGAATTGAGTCAAATGAGTGACTTTTTAATATTTGAATTAAATAATAATTTAGTACCAAAATAAAAATGTATCTATATTTGAAAATACTATTTACACATTACATATACATTAACATGTTAATGGGAACGTGAAATTAGAAAAAAAGTTCTAATAATTTATATTTTATAATAAGCTTGTCATTCAAGAGAAAATGTTGGCCAACAATCAATCGTTAATCATGCTCGAGTAACAAAGGAAATGGGTCAAGTTCTATTTAGAATCTTATTTTTACATTAGATACATCAAAACAAAACAATAAATCTCTTATGATATTATAAAAAAAGATGTAATATATCACATAATAAGAATATGAGCCAAGGTAGCCATAAAAGTAACGATATTGATTTCGGGAACACTTGATAAGCCGAGCATTAAATGGATACTGAAAAAGAATTAAAATTTCATTTGAACTCGTTCTTATGATATGTTGAGAATAGCGGACTAAATATATTTAATTTTTTATAATCACAACACGGGATGAGCTGTATTTCTACACAATATTTCTATTAACATTAATGGAATTTGAACTTTATATTAAAGACCATTTATAATCAAATGTTCTAAAAGAGTTTCTATCTAACCACCACAGACTATAACTTAATACTTATTTCGCATAAGAAGTCTGACCTGTTGCTATCCCATTTCATTAAACATGTTCCAACGGAAATATAAAACAAAATCTAGACTTAATTAGAAATGATGTGCAATTTATTTGAAACAGAGATTAAAATCTAATAGGAATTCCAGTGCCTTTTAATTCAAATTGCATACATATATGTTTCTTTTTTATCGTTTAGAAACACATTATTAAAAAATATTTTATTTTCTAAAGAATATATTATTCGAAGATTGAAAAGATCTGTAAACGGGTGAAGTTAATTGTCTGTTTATTTTTCATACATAATACTTAATAAATATTTTTTTATAATCTAAACAATAAGAATTTATCACTTCCAAATAAAATGGCATCGTATAAAAAAGAATAATTGACGTTCTGCTTTCTCGTAACTGACGTTGTCAGATTTAAAAAACTTTCCATGCATTTGGGTCGTAAGTCGTAACGCAATCACTTATCATTTAAATACTTCAGTTAAAAATCCCATAGATTGGCTCGAGTCTCAATTGTATTCATTGTCGTATAAAAATAATATTCGTAACGTTCATTATTAAAGCATTCCTAGATAAATGTTTAAGTAGCGATGCTAGTAACATCGTTATAAATACCAGTCTGTAAGAAGCTTAACATTCTATACCTTTTTAAATATTGTCATTATTATTACTTAGTTTATAATTAAGTGTATAATTATTTATGTTATCTAAATGATGTAGTAGTATTAAATTATGCGAAGGATGCAATACATCAACCGAATTCGCAGGATGACGTATTGAAATAAAAGTGTTATCATTATCTGTGTAATATGCGTAGCGTCATCGCAACGTCAAGGTGACATCCATTGGAATGCTAATGATTAATATTTTAAAATATGACTTAAAATATATATTTTTAATACCAAAAAGCTGATCTAGTCTAGTATCTATTTATTTATCATTGTTAAAATAGTTAAGTGGAAGCGAAACCAAGAAGTTTTTATTGCAATTCTTATGCAGGCTGGAAATAAAAAGAAATGAATGGCGCGTGACTCAAATTAGTTACTTATATTTTTGGTTGATATCCAAAGCATAATGCCAATAGATATATTAAAAATAGACAATATCTCCTAATTTTAGTCAATAAAACCAATCAGATAAGTTTATAATATTAATCTAATATTTTTATAACCATGTAATGGCTGCTGTCTTTTGTATTTATCAAATTTACGAATATATTGTGCCACTGATGATTTTTACTGCATGCCTAAATAGAACACAGAAGTCATGACCATATTTACTTAATCACTTTACATTAATATTAAAACCTGATCTAAGATTAAATAAGGAAAAAATATGTTTTCATCTCAAAGATAAGAAGAGCATCGTCTTAAATACTTTAAGATAAACGTTTTTGATGTCTTAAATTATAATGTTATTTCTGAAACATTTCTAATTGTGAGCGAAAGTACAATAAGAAGTAATTCACAAATGGTTTTTTAAGTAAAGTGACGCGACATTTGTTTTTTTTTGCACGTCAATATGACGTCATCAAGTACGTGCTAATAGGCAATAGCTTCGTTTATTCTACTTACGTTACAAAGATTATAAATGGAATGTGATCAAAAATTTAAAATATTTCTTTTTATCTTGATATCTAATATAAAGTATGCAAGTTGTAATAGACATCTTGTAGTCACAAATCGATTTATCAATAACAATTCATTGTCATCGGTTTTCCCTTTTATCTAAAACTGAATGCAACCTCTATGTTTATCACCTATTTTTAACTCTTTTGTTTATTCTGCTTATCAGATTATTATAATCTATGCGAAAATCAATTTGTAATGTCGTTTTCTGATAGTCGTCGAGGCCGAAAGTATATTCCTTTGTTAATATATGTATAGAAAAAACAAATTTAAAATTTAATTTTTATTAGAAATTTGATAGGAGATAATAAATAAAAGTTTTCATATAAACTTGTGAAACTAGTTAAATGCAGCAAGAGTCGCCTTTAAACCTAATCAAAATACAGAACAGGTAGATTTATATGTAAAAATAGTATTTATTACTGCTAACGGTGCGACTTTCCGCTTCGATAGTATTCTAGAAATTGGAATATGTATATAATATAACATTATAAATTCCATATAAGACAAAAGTATGTCATTGTTAAACTCTATTTTAATTTTCTATTAAATGATTATTTTTAAATGTGTAATATGTAACCAACCCTTAAAGTTAAGGGGCGTCGCTACGTTAATTTTTTTTCTTTTGGTTGTCAAATGTCCTTTGCGTTCTGTCACTCGGACATATAAATTAAGTTTTAATAAAGTTGATGTCATTGCGCATTCTGATGTAATAAATGTAAATTTTGTTCATTTTCCTCCAAAATATTATACGAAATAATAAAATTTTTAGTAAGAGAATATTTTTTATACCATATATTATTCTTCAACAGTATATATAAATGGAATCTTTTTTGTAATATTATTTTATAATAATCTTTATTAAACATAAATATTGAAAAAAAATAATATACAGGGACAAAATTAAATTTAATTAAAATATTTAATAAATAAAAAAATACTTACACATTCATCATGACAGCTAAACACTTAGATCAGTCGAATAAAAAAAAATTTAAGCGAAAACTTAAAGCAGAATTTTTATATTAATCGCCAATTAATTTAAAAACATTTTTTAATCAACTGTCATACATTTTAATTCAAAACGAAATCACTTAAAGATTTTATGAAATTTAAATAAAGCCAACTGTCACTTCGCGCGGCAAAAATTTCAAGTTTCTTCACGTAAGGGCGTCAGTTTGGCGCGAGTGTTGGTATCAAACTGCGTCCGTAGCTTGCGTCCACCTGATTTAATATTGCGGTTGATATATACATGTTTAATATCATTGTATTATTGAAGAGGTATGTAATGTCTTAATTTTT